ATAAATCTTAGCATGATTTATTTAAAAAGAAACATCATCTATCAAACAGGAAGGAGAACTGTGTGTCATTATATTAAGAAGAAAAAAGGATGAGAACCCATAGGAACAAAATAATCTAATTTGCAGTTTGATTCTACATGTACTTCAATCATGTTGCTGTAGTGCTATGATCTACATAGGTACTGTCAACTGTGCATGTGCAGATGTCAGCAAAGCTCAAGGTTGGACCAGTCAATTAATTTTGCAGACACAAACAGAAATGTATCAATAACAACATGTACGGGCAATCACTGGTGGGCATTGGAGTATTGGGCTCAAGATAAGTCATCTGCTTACCTAAGAACGGTTGCTAAGTCAGTTTTGGTTCTGGTATGCAATCAACCAGATATATATATGTGAATGTGGATGGCCGTTCTCCCCTCAATGCACTCCAGTATATTTATTCTTGGGTTGAAATTTGTATTATATGTATTCAAATGATTTGTTTATTATCGTTCACAACTCTGATATTTTTTCGAATCCAATAGACTATGTGTCACTCTGGTAAAAAAAAATTCAAAACTATTTTTGCTCGTCTGCTATTATATGATCAAATGATGCTATAGATTTCAGGCCCATGGCCCAATACTGGCCTTTTTTGCAATTGCTTCCCTCTAAATGCTTAAGCAATATTTTGGTCCATGTCAATGCACTTTCCATTAACTGGCCACCAAGCCCATTCAGGAATTCAGTATATTTCATTTCTAAACATTTAGCCAAGTGCTCCATGCGTTCAACCTTATACCATGTAATGATTTAGTTTGTGTCATGAATAAGGGAATAGAAGTCATATCTTGTGGTTTAAGACTTATCATCAAAATCATGCTTGTTCTTAGGATGACGTCTTCAGACGATACAGTCGCCTTCTTGGAAATCTGTTTACTTTTCTTTAGCTACACATGTCATCATCTTTCTGCAGCTGATTGGTATTATTGAGTTCATTTAAACTCAAACCTCTCTGCATAAGCTTCTGTCCCAATAAGCATTTATCTCTGACACACTTTTGTTTTGCATTAACAAGCCAAATTACCAAATTCGTAAATAACTCACTGTAAAGGCCTATCCTGAATCCTCGAGCTGGGCAATAAGCTATTCTTCTGAATAATGCCAATATGCTATACAGGCTTATTTGTTAGCTCACCAGCACAAGTTACGCTATATCTTACATGCTGTAGATTTTTTTGCTTTCTCTTGCATTATCATAATTTACGAGAGGACATGAATGATTATATTAATTTTTTTTCGCGATCGTGCCTAGGCACATATTTCATTAAGAAGAATAGAGCTTGTTACAGGAGGCGGGCGCGACGGTAATTTGGGGTTACCGAGGGCCGACCGAAAGCGAGCACGAAGGCACACAAGATTGTAATTACGTCATACAAATTTCGTGGCCATTGTTGCAGGGCTCAAATTGACTCCATCAGTGCACCGAGGTGCTTGTAGCCCGCCATGCACTAAGCGTCAGCTTCTTCCTGGATGGAGACCTCAAGACGCGTCGCCGAGGTTGACACTCCATTGAAGGTTCTCGCATTGCGTTCTTTCCAAATGGACCAACCGATGAGGAAGAAGACGGAGTCAAACCCACGGCGGAGCTGTTTTGGCAGCGCCTTCCTGCATCGCAGCCACCATGGGATAGCCGGTTCATCTTGAACAACGACGGTGTACTGCAGGTGTAGCTTCCTGAACCAGGTTTCCTAGACCTCGCGACTGAAGGGGCATCCAAGAAGGATGTGGTTCATCGTTTCGGCGCCCTGGTCGCAGAAGATGCATGCATTCGAATCTTGCAGACCATGGCGGAACCGTCTATCCGCCGTCCAGCATCTGTCGTGCATGACCAGCCAAAAGAAGAATTTAACCTTCGGTGGCGCCGATGTTTTCCATATGTGCTTAGCTCCAAGAGGCAATGATGATCCGATAAACATAGCACCATATGCAGATGTTGCGGAGTAGCACTGATCGGCGGTGAACCTCCAGGCGAAGGTGTCCGGCTGCGCCGATAACTACACCCCCTCCAATAGGTTGTACAGGTGGTCGAACTGGAGCAGGACCTGCATGGTTAGCGGCCCGGTGATGTGTCGGATCCGTGCGTTGTTGTGTAGGGCCTCGGCAACGGTGGCCCTCCGCTTTCTCGCTTTCACCACGGCAAAAACAGCGGGAGCAGCATCCTCAATGCTACGGCCGTCAAGCCATCTGTCTGTCCAGAAGAATGTGGACTCTCCATTCCCAAGCATGAATACAGTGGCCGCCTGGAACACGGCAATAACTGCCCATTCCTTCTAAGCCAGGGCGGCTCGACGCTCCACTCGCGCCTGCCACTCCCAGCGTACTCGTAGGGCGATCCCGACACGTTGCAGGTCAGAGACACCGAGGCCACCGAGGTCCCTGGGGCGACACACAGTCTCCCATGCCACCTTGCACTTTCCTCCGGAGACTTTGTCTGAGCCACACCAGATGAAGGCGCGACGCATCTTGTCAATCAACTCGATCGCCCAAGGCGACAAGCAGAGGACGATGGACATATGCGTTGGGATGGCAGACATAGTTGCTTTCACCAGAGCCATTCGTCCAGCAATGTTGAGCATATTGCCCTTCCATTTCGGTATTCTTGCAGTGACTTTATCGATGAGAGGCTGCTCGTCCGATCTCTTGAGTCTCCGGACTGAAAGCGGCGCCCCCAGATAGCAACACGGGAGGTCCTCGATCCGACAGAAGAGGATATCCCTAACTCTGGCAATGTCGTTCTCCGAGCAGTGGAGCGAGGACGCTACACTCTTGTCGAGGTTGGAGAACAGGCCCGACACTAAACCAAAAATGGTGAGCACTACCTTGATGACCTATAGGTCCCTCACATTAGGAACCACGAACAGAACTAGGTCGTCAGCGTACAGACTCGTCCTGTTGCCGACACTGTCATGCAGAGGTGTTAGAAGCTGCTGCTGCTCTACCCATTTTAGGAAATGGTTAAGGACCTCCATGGTGAGCACAAATAACATCGGCGAGAGTGGGTCTCCTTGGCGAAGGCCACGAGCATGGTAGATTCGCCTCCCCGGGCGGCCGTTGAGCAGAATCTTCATGCTTGCAGTGGCCAAGATTATTGAAATCCAATCTCTCCATCGCTGGCCGAAACCCATGTGTTGGAGGACTTTTAGGAGGAACGGCCGTGAAACCGTGTTGAAAGCCTTTGCTATATCAATCTTGAGCAAGATGGTCGGCGACTTCTTTTCATGGATGGCTTTGCAAGCGATATGCACATTCCTGAAGTTATTATGGATGCGACGTCCTTTGATGAAAGCGCTCTGGTTGCGCAAGACGAGAGCATCCAGAACGCCTGCTAGCCTGTTGGGCAAGCACTTGGTGATGAGCTTGCTGAAACTGTGTATGAGGCTGATAGGGCGATAGTCACGGATCTCCGCCGGATGTTCCTTTTTTTAGTAGTATCATGTAAGCATCATTTAGGTGATTGAAGCTACGGCAGTCCAGCGACCAGAAAGCATTGAAGGCGTTCATGACATCCATCTTGATTGTCCCCCAGGCCTTCTTGTAGAATAGGCCGGTGAAACGTCCGGTCCCGGAGCCTTGTCATTCGGCAGATTAGCAATGACTGACCGAACTTCCTCCTCGGTGAACAGGTGCTCGAGCTTTGGCCTTGCTATTTGCGGCACCCCCAAGGTCTGCAGATCGAATCTTCTTGAATGCTCAAAGTTTGCTCCAAGGACGTTGATGTAATAATCGTAGAGAGCATCGGCCATCGCTGCGTCACTGACAACATCCGTCCCCTGAACGCGCAGCGCGTCAATCCGGTTCTTTCGGTTCCGGTGACAGGCTTGTAAGTGATAAAACTTCATGCTAGCATCTCCTTCCGCCAAGAAGAGCAGACGCGAACGTTGCCTTGCAATCGTGCGCGCCAAGGATGCCAGGCCCAGGACCCACAGTTTGAGGTCTTTTCGAAGCTCAGCCTCCCAGGGTAACAGAGTTCTGGACTCCTGCTCCTCATCAAACTTCTGAATGACTTCATGGGCCATGGCGAGCTGTAAGCACACACTGCCGATCTTGGTCTTGCTCCACCGACGTAGTGCTTTGGCAACATTCCAGAGCTTGTGGTCCAGCACGCGAAAGGGGTCCACGTTTGTCACACTTGGTTCCCATGCCGCGGCAACAACATCGTCGAAGCCCGGCAATTTCGTCCAGAAGGACTCAAACCGGAACCTACGCTTTAGATCGGTGTTGACCTTAAGCTATAGTAGCAACGGACAGTGGTCTGAGCAGTCCGAGGATAAAGGCTTGAGCATGTGGTTCGGGAAGGCCGCAAACCAATCCATCGATGCAAACATGCGGTCAAGCAGTTCTAGTGTTCGTGAACCTTCTACCGACCAAGTTCAACTCTTCGAGGTTCACCCTATTGAGGAACGCATGGAAATGTCTCATGCAGCGGCGATCTAGCCTGCCGTTGTTCTTGTCTTGCGCACGGTAGATCATGTTGAAGTCCCCGCAAAGGAACCAGGGCCCCGGGTGAGAGTCCCGAAAAGTGCAACAGCTCGTTGAGGAACTCCACCTTCTTGTGATCAAGCTGCGGCCCGTAAACGACAGTGATCCACCATTGATCTGTCAACGCGCCTGGCGCGAACAGCTTCGCCGAAATGGTGTACCAGCCCTTGTGGACATCAGACGTCGTCTAGCAGTCGTTGTTCCAACCGAGGAGGATACCACCGGACACATTCATCACCGGGAGGAAGTCGTAAGCGAACGTGGTTCCTAGGATTTCATTAGACAGTGCATTACAAATGACGGAGAGCTTGGTCTCCAGAATACACACAAGAGTTGGCCTTTCTTGAACCAGGAACTCTCGGACGACGTTCCGGCGCGCGCGGCCGTTGAGCCCCCGCACGTTCCAAACAAAGCAGCAAGCTAACGACGACATATGGGTAGAGTTTTGCGACGGTTGGTAAAGAGACCGCTGGAGACTAAGCCTCAACAACGTCCAAACCAGCCATGTTGAGCTCCATGGCTACCGGGTCGAAGTCACCGGAGAAGAGTAACTGAAACGCTTGCTGCTTGCCACTGGACATGGGCCCTCGGAACGTTTCCTTGAAATTGCGCTGGATCTCTGAGTCGCCCGCATCTTCGTCGACTCGCACTCCAAGTTTTTTCAGGAGCACAGATTGTGCCTGCTTGGTGGAGTTCGCCGCCCGGGGTTTGGCTGCTAGCATGCCGCTGCGTCTGATGGAGTGGATTGACACCGGCGTCCTGGAGCGACGCAGCCTCGGCCCCCCACGGAGGACCGGCGTTTGGAGCCGCTAGCAGACCCTGGCCTCCAACTCCTCCTGCACAACAGCAACGTTCGCAGCGTCACCCTTGTCGTTAGCCACGGAGTTGTCTTCGTTGCCACTTTCATCTGAAGTAGGTGGATTGGACGACGTCAGGAACTCGAGTTCCATGACATCAAAGCCCAAAGCCTTCTGCGCAGCAGGTAAGGCTTGAAGGCACGTGGTGATGGTAGGGAGCGGCCTGCTCCCCCGAACACCTGGGCTGGCGTCGAATGGCCCAAAAGACTGAGCCGTGCGAGCTGGAGCCAACTCAGGCGACTGTAGTCCCATAGCCCCGATGGGCGTAGACGGAGCCGGCTGTCGCATGTCCCCCAGCATAGCTTCAAGCTGCATCGGATCCGAATCAAATCTTGGGGCAGGTGAGATGTGGACATCGCTGGCGAGGAAGTCAACTTCGCATGCATGTCGCGGTGGCGTGTTAATTAGATGGTATGCTTGAAAATGGAACAACAGAATGTAAAGGATACAAGTTTGTTTTTTTCCTAAAATGTTTTTGACTATCTCCTGGAAATGGGAGTTGGACAGGGACAGGGGTTCAATGAATTATCACCAGAGGTTCTAGTAGTGATGTCATTCCATAAAATATGAAAGAATACCTCTTGTTATCTGCATGTTAGGTGGCCTAGCCGCCCGGGTGATGAAATGACAAAGATCTATAGAAGCTTCCAATCCATCGAGCCTACCATATCTTCATGCCTTTATCAACTGGAGTGGCCTGGTGGGTGCGCTGGATGTTGTAGTATCTTTTTACTCACTTCTCTTGTTAGGTGCTGGTTCTGATGCAATGACAAAGATTTGAAGTGTGTTTTGCACGACCTACCTCATTCTAGAAGGGGTCATTGCATTCGTTATCATTGATATCACTGATAAATCACTTACACCATCTTTCAGTTGCTGAAACAGTGGTGTTAGGTAAAAACTATCCAGGCTTGGCATCAAATCCGCATGCATCCACAATATCCCACCCACTTTATGTTTCTTTCTTTCTTTCTTTCTTTTTTATGTTTTGTTTTGTGGAGTCCTTCTCATAGTCATAGGTAGAACCTTCACTAGACCTAACTCATCCTAAGTAGTATGAATGTCAAAACATCCTTACATCTTTTCTTCTCTTTTCCTTTGGAAAGCATATTTATCCAAAAGCTTATGTGACTTTCATTTTCATCTGGAAAAGGTAGTTGTGCACTTATCTGCTCCGCTCATGTCATGTGTGCTGCATGTCGGAAAAGATTGAGAAGCAATTTGGCATGCAGTCAAACCAGCTGCGCATTTTGCCTTGTCGATTGGGGAGAATCTCACCAGTGGTTCTGGTGGTCCATAATGGAGTACCTATGCCAGGTCTTTAGAGCGATGAATAAAGTTGCATTTTGACTTTAGAAGAAAACAACCTGCTGCACATGTGCTCAATGTACTGCCTTGTTCTTTACATGTTCTGTTGCTTTAACTGCAGTACTAGTTCACATTGAAGCTACCTTTTGTTGCGAGACTACTAGCTCAACAGTCAACAGTTGTATAAAAAGTAACGTGATGCCTGTTCATTTGGCTGATAATATTGTTGGCTGATTTGTTGTGAGAGAAAAATACTGTTCGTTGGTTGAAAAAATACGTTAGTTGTTACACTCTACTAGTGGCAATACATTGAAGCTACCTTTCTCTTACACAAATGGAGGTCACCGCGACAAGTCTTCATCGCAGGGGCCACTAAAACAAAAAAGTGTAAAGCTAAGATCAACTGCACTTGGGTTGGTGGGGTTGCTGTCAGTGCAGACAAGAATATGTTGGATAGATTAGAGTTATTTTTGCAACAAGTATTCTGACGACTAGATATGCATTTTTATCACTGAACTGTTTTCAGCAGAACCATTAAGCTCACGCACTTCCTTTTGTTTCTTTTTGCAAAGATAAGTGCATCTGATATATTCTTGATGTGATTTGGAGGTAGTGCAAAAGGGTTTATGATGTCTTAATCTTAGCATTTTTGGGGCCGTTCGGCTGCTCACAATTTCAGCCGGAATTCACTGTGCGCGGATGGAAAATATTGTTCACACTCTCACAAATTTCTCCAGATTCATCCAGATTCCTCCAAACGAACAGGGCCTTTGTTGGCCTTCCTTGCTATGCAGATTACTGTGACCTGTATTATGTGTGATCCAGCAGTTTCCGTGGTTGCCTTTTTCACAACATACATCAGAGTTCACCTAATGGTCCTGAGCAGCTTGAATGAAGAATCATGACTAGATAGTACCTGTAGCTATTACTATTTCATTTACTTGGGCCATAGTCTTGGAAAGCTGCTGTAAGTTATGGTTTTCTTAGCAATTTTAAACTTCCAAGCTACCTTTAAGAAAGTGACAGACTGAACAAGACTATTTATGTAATCACAACTTTATGGTTTACATGTGGTCTTTGCAGGTTACATATGCCAATATATGTAAGGATGTATTCATGTTGCTGGACTGTCTCCCCATACTCAAAGCACGCATGGTGTCTTCTACATAACCAGGTGTGTACACAGTGTTAGGTTGATCTAACGACCGAGTCAGGGCCTTGATCCGCGCCTTGATCGGGGGCGCCCAACCGAGCCATGGTTGGTGGGTCCCCGTCGCACAGCGCCATATAAAAGGAGGTGGGGGACCGAGGCACTTAGTACGAGGTTCACTATGCCGCCAGCAACCCCATCCACAACCCTAACCGATTCAGGGAGGCGCTGCCAGCGACGGGAAGCCTCACTGCCTCGCCGCCACCAGGACGCCACCACCCTGCACTACGCTCAACCCTCTTCACCGACCTCACCACCGACACCGTCGCCATGGCGAGCTCCTCCGCCAAGCCCACTGATGGTCAGCCACTTCAATCCTCTCTCTCTCTCTTTTATGGTCTAGGTTATCTTATTCCGAATAGAAATGTTCTCACCCACTAGATCTTACTCCTAGTGATCCTAAGAATCTAACAATGGTATCATATCGCCTCCTAGGCAGTAGATCTAGATCGGGGTAGAAAAATGAAAAGAAATCAGAAGGAGATGAAAGTTTTCGAATTTCCTCAAACCCTAACACTAACCATAGAGATGGATAGAGGACCGGCGGGACCCACCTGGCGGCCCCTGCTGTCGTCACCACCGCCGGTTGACGCTTTGTCGCCGAGCGGGAAGACGAGCCAACCGCCGATCGTCACCGAATCACTGGCACGAGGACCGGGGCTCAGGGCACCGTCGTGAAACTGCACGATGGCGGCGCGCTCTCCCTTGCGGGGAACGCGCACGCCGGCGAAGGGCCCCGTGGCGGCGCCGGCACTCCCCTCCGGTCGCCACTGCTGCTCGCTCGCTTGGGTCGCGGTGCTGTGAGAGAAGGGGGAGGGAGAGATGTGAACTAGGGTTTTGGGGGAGGAGCAGCCGGCAGGGGGGGGGGTTGTTTCGCCGATCCGCACGCCTGACCATCGGATTGCGATCGATGGTCGGCAGAGCACGGGCCGGTTTTGGCCTAGGCGGGAAGGTAGATTCCTGGCCTAGGCCCAGGTTGCGGCTTGGGCGTGGGGAAAACGGCGCGCTCGGCTCGGCCAAGGGCCGTCTTCACCGCTGGGATGCATGAGGGCGCAGCGCGCCGATGACCCTTGGACCGATTTCACTCCCGGACCGAATGCACAGAGAGATAACAGTTTAAGTTTTTCCATTTTCTATTTTTTAGTAGCATTTTGTCAATATGTTTTATCTAGTTCTATAAATTTGCACCAACATGTTTAATTTTTAGAGAGTAGATAAGTACTCAAAAATGCTTTTGAAAAATATACTATTTTACATGTTTTCGCTGCTACATTAAAGTTTCATCCTCTAATTAAATTGGGACTACGAAAATTTTTAATTGGAGGACTAGTTTGATTTGTCTAAGTTAAATTATGATATTGTTATTTTTCTGACCAACATTGATGTTAACAATGTTATAAGTTTATTAATGAGTTTTACCATGCATTAATTCCATTTCTGCCCAACGGTGATATAGAATTAATGTAGAAGAATATTGTATTTATAATATTGCTATTTTCTGACCAAAGTTGATAATAGCAATATTATAATTTTATTTATGAGTTTTTTGCATTAGTTCTATTTTTGCCCAACGGTGATGTAGAGTTAATGTAGAAGAATGTTGTATGTTTTAACTTTGACCAACGTTAAATTAAGTCATGCAATTATTATGTCAGATGTTTCTCACTTTCTCTGACGTTGTTTTCAGGATACAACCCAATGATGTTTATCTCGTCCATTCCTCCTCTTAATGGAAATAACTATAATGTATGGTGAGAGAAGCTTGAGATAGCACTTGCATTGTCCAACAATGACCTAGCACTTATCTCTCCTTGTCCCACTGAACCAGTGGACCCGGTAAGGGAAGCAAATGAGATTGATGCAGCTTTCGCTACTCGGCAGTGTGACCATGCATTAGTGAGAATGACGTACGATCTTGATCGTGCGAAGTGGGATAGTTCAAACAGTAAGTGTTTGATGGTGATTAAGGGCTCCATTGAGGATCCAATAAGGGGTTCAATCCTAGAATGTACCACCGCCACTGAGTATCTCAAGAAGGTGGAGAGTCAGTTCACTGGCTCTTCAAAGGCTTATGCTAGCACTCTTATTAAGAAGTTAGTCAATGAGAAATACACTGGTGGAGGAATAAGAGATCACATATTGAGAATGAGCAACACGACATCCAAGCTCAAGCCAATGGACTTGGGGCTCAAGGATGAGTTAGTCAATGAGAAATAAACTGGTGGAGGGATAATAGAGCACATATTGAGAATGAGAAACAATATCTAAGCTCAAGCCAATGGACTTGGAGCTTAAGGATGAGTTCCTAATTCATTTGGTTTTTGCTTCTTTAACTAAAGAGTATGAA